ATGTTATGTCTCTGTTAGAAATTTCATGTAGTGGAGATGACAGTCGCTGGATTTACTGGCATGTTGTCAACACCACTTCCTACAAAAATCCATCTGGAAATGTGTGTATCAACCCAATAGAAAACTGTTGTTATTATGCAATATATTATGAATGTATTGAAAACTATTTCTTATATAAACCAGAAAACTAATAATATGTCTTCCACTTGTAATTCCCCACCAGAGAGCATTATCTGAAATTATGTTTGGCAACTTGGATGATTTATATTGTAAAAGTTATTGTACATACATCAAAAGATATATTGACTGCCTTCAGTTATTAGGAAAATAAAGCATGAAAAAATCGTATATTAATGCAATAAAACTAAAAAATTATGAATGATGTTCTTATAACAACCAACAATAGCCTGTTCAAACTCAGGTCTTAGCTTTCACAAATTGTGCTGAACAGAGATATTGTTCTGTGAAAATTGATAGTTGAAAAATGTAAAAATGGTTTGCATGTTCAATTATTATCACGAATTTATAGCCTAGTCTTGTTCCATGCCTACTATATTTTCTGTGATTTGATGCAAAAACATAGTATTATAGTAATCCAGACTAGAGAAAGCCCTGACCAAATAGCAGTGTACAAGTATATAGTAATATAAGAGCTTAAAAATTGAACCTTTTCCCTCTCACTGCTGTGGGTTTGAATCAAGCCAGGGGGTAGATTTAATTAGATTAAGAAAGGTATGTGGTTTCTTCTTTGTCTGTGCTTAAGAATATACACTGAGGAGTAATTGATGTAAAACTGAAGGGCCACAGTATGACCTTAAAAACATTCAACAAAATATGAAAAAAACTTAACCCTTAACCTGTTGGTGACAACAGATTATGCCTGTGAGTCTGTGCTGTCTAATCATGGTCTGCACTGTTTGATTTTCATTCAGTACTTACATGTATTATGAAATTTACCCTAAACTGGTCTTATCCATAATAAAAGATGACAAGTCCATTTAAGATGCTTATCATAGTAAATGGTTAAAGTTGTACAAATTACAGAATTTGGGCAGTTCATCATATTTTTTGTAAAAATATAATTTTTTGCTTGACTTTTTCAAAAGAAAAAAATCAAAGCTTGTCATCATACTAGGATACAACAACTATTTGGGTAGAGCAGACTGATGTTGACCTTTATTCATAAATGACCTTGACCTTGAAGGTAAAATATTTGAATTTTGCATGATTTTTTTATACAAATGGCTAGTCTTCAACTTTGTTATTTATGAATAGATTGTCTTCATACTTGTACATAACAACCTTTCAGATAAGACCTTCAAGTTGACTTTATTGATCATGACCTTTACTCATCAATGATGTTGACCTTAAAGTTCAAATTATTAAATTTTGTTTGCCTTTTACCTATAATTGGCTATGACATTGTTATTTATGAAATGATTGTTTTAATATTTGAGCACATTACTACATGTACCTTAAGAACAATGTCTTAAAGAAGATCAAACTCAATTTGACCTTGACTCAAAAATGACCTTGACCTAGAAGGTCAAACTATTGTAATATCACAGTCTTTTGCTATAATTGGCTATACGAAATGAATGTAATGTCTTAATTATACTTTGGCACAACATTGCCTCATTCCATTTGTAAGAAAAAATCTTTTTTAAATTATTTGGACATCTTACTTCTTTAACAGTTTGTTTACAACTCCAGTTATACTTCCCCAATACTAAACACTTACTAGAAACCAAATTCTGAGAGAGAAATACTCCCATCTCTTTTAAGACACAATGAATGTATTATTGAAGAGAAATGATGTGATTATTTATAAACTGGTATTCTTCCTAAAAGGTTAATCATGGGCCAAGGCTTTTAGGAATAATTGTGATACCAGCTTGACTCCACTAATCTAAGTCTTATGGCCAATGACGAAGTTTCTTTCATTTACATGTAACTGCTATTATATCTTTTGTCCTCAGTTTGATGCATTCAATAAAACACTTTTAAAATAGGATTTGTAAAAGATCTTGAATATATCAAGGCAATACTCATTTCAGAATGAATCTTAAAGAACAATATTTAGGAGGAAGTACCTGAAAGGGCTGTAAGAAAAAGACATCAAGGTAATGCCATCATAACTGGATAAAATAAAAGATCAATGCAGTTATGAATAAAAATTAGCGAGCTCGAGCTCCTTAAAACAAAAAAATAACTAACCTCTTCTCATGCTTTGAACAATGAGAAAGGTATGGGCTTAAATTTTTTTGAAGCTATGCAGTACTTGCAAGTTGTTCTTCACAGGTACAGATCTATGTTTGCCACCAAAGAAGCTACTAAATGATTTACAGTTAGATCAATGGTAGTTTAAGATGTCTGCATCTATATATGTTTCTTTCTCAAGGCTATAATAAATCAATTGCCAGATTATCATCTAAAGTTTATATCTATAGGGAGGAGGGGGGAGAGAATTCTATTTATTTTTTCTTTAAAACATTGCATTATTTATTGTTAAATAAAAATACCAGACTGATATTTCTTCATAAAATATTCTTCTCCTCACAAAAATATGTGTCTTTAAAGGCTACCATAATGTTTCATTATTATAACAAACAAGCACTTTTTAAATACCAGAATTTAAATTGATTTCTTTTTTTGGTGTGTGTGTGTGAAATATTTAAAGATGTTGAGACATAAAACAAGAGCTGTTATTACTGGCCAGTGCCCCTAACTATTCTGTGTGCTTGAGAGCCTGGATAATGTAGGAGGAATCTATGTGTGAAGTTTTAATTGTTTACTCAGGTTAAAGAGATATACAGGATTGGTGTACAGAAGTTGAACATAACAATGGCCAAGTGGTTAAGGTTCTCGACTTCAAACCACTTGCCTCTCACCACTTTGGGTTCAAGTTGCCTGTTTGTGCCTGAAATAAGGCATGGAGGACCATAATGACCTTTACAGTGTTGTGCGAACCACCGCCATCTCATTCCCCCCCATCCCCCCCCCAAAAAAAAAAAAACCAAAAAAAAAACCTCACAAAAAACAGAAAACCTTTAAACAGTGTTACAACACGTAAAGTATGATAGCCCTACAACTCTCTGCTAAAGATTAGGGATGTAAAAAGGTTAATCTAGCAATTAATTTAAGCTTGCCTAAGATATTTAAGTATTGGTTAGCCCAGAAAATGGACTGAAGATCAAATGATAGTTGCACAATCAAGCATATAAACGTTTCAACTTGATTAAATCTACAGTAATTTAGAGAAAATTAGTGGCTTTAATGATGATTATATTTTTCTTATAATGTCAATGTGACATTTATAATACCGTACATGTTTATTCCAATTCAAGGATGCAAATTATTTCAAATTATAACATTTTGTGACAAGTTAGACAAAAGAACTCTGCTTAAATTGAAACAGCAGTAACTGTTCATCTGACAGTAACGTTGGCCTTTGATCTGGTGATCTCAAACACATAACAAATTTGAGGTCATTTATCTCATACAGGCATCAAGCTATTTTTGAATTTGTATAGTGACATTTGTCTTAGTAACCCCTAAACCAATTATCAACTAATATAGTGAAATATTATATGAGTTTAAATATAATGGGTAAAAAATACTCAAGTTATTGAATGGTCAGTTTTCAACATTTATGGTACAATGTTATTGACCTTTAACTAACTGACCTCATCCTCTGAAATTTTAAAATTTATTCTAAAATACATGTAAACATAAAGATATAAAGTGAGCAAAAGATTTAAGTTGAAGCTTGCTGTGACCTTGACCTTTGACTTACTACTTAAACAATTGCAGTTCTTTATCCGAATAAAGAAAATCAGTTTGATGGTTGAAGGTCAAACAGTGCAAAGAAGCTAAGGGATGGACTGGTGTGAAAACAAGGGGTTTGTAAAGACTGAAACACACAAAGAAAATCTAAAACACTGAATTCTTTTAAAGATTTTTATTGGAAAGACAGACATTACAATAACATTAGTAAATGATAAAATCCAGCATGGACCTGCCATGACATTGTCAAAATATTCTCAAAATTTAATTCTACTAAATTAATATAGTTCAAAATAAAAGGAAATAAAATAAGAAAAAAACATCTATTAGAAAAAGAGGAATATATTCTATTCTTTTGTTTTTGATTTTACATAAAACATAAATGCTGCAATGGTTTAAAATTATTCTGTTTTCTTTTGAAGTCACAATTTTGATTATTTTCATTGATTAAATCTTTAATTTAAAAAAATCTTTCATGTGTTCTATAAAAAATTCAAATGTAAATTCTTTATTTATATATTGTACATAACAAATGAAAAAAAATAAAGCCAACTACATTGTTATTTCTATATCAAATAATCATTAAACTTTGTTGGACATTACGTCCTAGTGACACATGAAAATATCATGTGGTGACCTTCCAGCTAAACATGTGAAGGAAGATCTCACGAGCCCCACTATGAACTATTTCAACAGCATGCCTACATATAAGTGGAACCAACAACCTTTCTTAATCTAGATGGATATCTCTCTCAAATAACACAAGTCATAGCCCATATTCCATCCAATCAACATCAGAGAGGATTAAAGTGATCTTAGGCCAGCAATCATGACTTCACCAAATAAGGCAGGAAAAATAACATGAATATCAAATAAAGCAGTTAAACTAAATTAAATTGCAGGTGAATTATTTCATATTTATAAAAAATATACATAAAAGATAAATTACAATAACAATTGATAAATATAAAGTCTGTAACATTTCCAGCATGTAATTATATCAATAAATGGATTGAAATTTAAATAAATAAAAATAATAGCTTTTTTCCTTTAGCTTATTAATGGCTTATAACAAAAAAAATAATCTTTTATTAAAAGAATATAAAATTGATGGCAAGAAACTATAACAATTGGATTTTTTGTAGGGACATCAAATTTAAAAAAAAAATGAATTTACCTAGCTAACCATAATTTAGAATGATTAACATGATGTAAAGTTATAATCTGTTTGAAATAAGTCATAATTTTCATATCTGTTAAGCTATTGTTACAATTTTCTGTAAATAATTTGCTGTTTGTTTTTTTCAAATTGTGTTTTCTATAAAAATTTTAAGTAAAGTCTACATATCATTTAAAATTCATCAGGGGTGGTAGTTTTGAAACTTTAAAAAAATGTTTATGTTGGTTTTTAAATAAACTTTGGCCTTTTTCTCAATATGCCTTTCAGCAAAATTCAAAATGTAGAAAAAAATGATTTTAAATTTTTATCCAACTTATGTACAGTTGTTGCTTTTTTATGTAAACTAAGCCATCCTTCAACATGAAAAGAATCAAAACAAATCAACACATTATCATACCCAATGGCAAAGACCAAAGATGCCCCTTTTAATTGGTTTAAATGCCTATAAATATCGTTCCAAGCAAACTTACTGTAAAATCTTAAGTTTTATATGGACGGAATTGAAAAAAAAAATCACATTTTACATTAACATTTGTACAAAACATTGCATAGTTATATATTGCAAAATATTACAAAAATAAATGCATAATCTGGTAATCACATACAAACTGAATTAGTCTTCAATGCAAATCAACAGTTTTTGATATGGAAAAAGTACATGTACTACTAGAAATTCCATAACTATGGCAGAAAAAAGCATACTTTATTCATAGGTCTAGGTTCAGCAACAGTTTATATCTAAGTTAAGTCATGTGTTGTGTGTGTCTGGTTTATTTACATTTGCCACCAGAAATGTAACCCTTTACCTCCTGAATGTGTGTAATGAATTTGCCCTACTTTGAACTTGGAACAGTCCATATGAAGTTTCAGGGATTTCAATATCAAAACTAAATAACCAACAGTAAAGAGCCTGGTCAAACTGCACTGAAGTACATGCTGACTTGGCTTTCTTCTGGTGGGAAAGGCTAATTTCTATTCCAGAAAGATAGGGGTTAACTTAATTAGAGAGTGGTACATTATTATAGATTTTTGAGATTTGTGAACCATTTGATTTATATATTGACCAAAAACTTTAGTACAAAATATCAAAGGAGTTCCTTAAATGACACTTATCAGAATTTCTAGCTCTGTACAGCTAACCAAGCTTTCACATGCATTATTAAATTATACTAAATTTGATTGTCAGTATATTGAGAAAATTACAGAAAGATACTACATTATACATCTTTTAACAACATTCAGAAAAATAAAAAGTCAATGAATATTAGTCATTTAATGAAAAACCTTTAGGAAAAAATAAAACTTAACAATATTTAAAAAATTACTTTAATGATTTTTTTTTCTTTTTATAAAGTTCAAGGTGAAATTATTTTTTAGACCTGATAGAAAAATGAAGATAAAAAATATTCCTATACTTGGACAAAATTTTTGTGTTACATTATTTTCCAGTTTAGAGATTTTACTTTGAACATTATTATTTCTTAATATCATTTATAGCTTAAAGATAGTCTCAAAACCAATCTTAATTACTGTTTTCAACTCTATTGAATTGTTTAAATTCTTCATAAAACAATCCTTAAAAATAGTTTAATTCATCAGAGTTACCTAAAGCATCAAATTAAAAAAAACAACAAAAAAACTTTAGACAAAAAAAATCTAAAATTAAATCACATATTTGAAGTATTATCACAGTTTGTAGAGTTCATGATCCTTTTCTGTCTTTATTTCTTGTTTGGTTTCTTCTTTGCTACCTTTGGACCACTTTTATTATCTTTGCCACTCTTTTTACTCTGGGCACTTTTAGGACCCTTGCTGCTGTCAGTGGTTGCTGTTACGACACTCATTGACTCTGGAATCATATAAACATATACAACGTTACAATGCTGACTTGACTTAAAATCTAACGAGCTGTCAGTAGGACAGAGAGCCTAGATAATGCAGAAATTTCTAAAAGAAAAAAGGGCCATAATTAAAATTTGAGAAGTTAAATAATATATTAGGTAGAAAAATTGGTCTTGAAAAAAAAGATAAAAGCCTCCAATTCAAGTTAAAGCAGAATAAAACAAATAAGGTTTGTTGTTCTAAAGTGGAAATCGGCATTTACAAATAGATCACCGCTTGATCATCGTATCTTAAAAGCCTACCACACCCCAAGTACTGGAGGTTGGCACCGCATATAAGCATAGTACGTCAAAACACGCCTATTCTTGTAAACAATAAACATGGTTGACTTGATTACTTATCACATGAGGATCGGATGCTTCTGTACGAAGGCTGGATATGAGAATTTAGATCTTCACACAATTTTTCAGTTAATACTAAGTTTACTCATTGGGTCATGTTCTCATGAAAGAAACTTTAGTGCACTCCATCTATGCAGGATGCTAGATTAAATGGTCTAGCTTGGATACATGTATACATGTATTCATATTAAACAAACGTCACTGGACTATGATAAGATTTTAAAGTTATGGGATTCTCCTGAAAACAAAAGAATTGCCTTGGCCTTTTCATGAAACTGTGAACCTGAACTAGTAGATAAATAAATGAAATAAAATGTATTTCAGATCTTGTAAAGAACATTAAAATTTTTTGTTTGTTTTCTGAAATATGAATGTAAAAGTTACCAAAATGGTATAAAGATGATTAAATTCAGAATGACCAAAAGCTTGTCCAAGAATGCTCCAAAACACAGCAGAGACGTTCTTGGTTAAAAAAAAAATTCCCCGAATTTGCCTACGTCAAAAATCAGTTCTTGTTACGCCATTGTATTGTTACAGATAAGGTGGTAACCTAATAACATTTCAATACTGACCATCATCTGCTATAAACCCGCTATTGTCTCCTCCTTCCTCAGGTTTAAACTCCGCCTTCTTTCTCTCATTTTCCTCCTCTGGATCCGGTACATAACCTGGGTTGATGTTTGCCATATCATTATCACCAAGTTCCTGGGAATCACGAAGACTTGGCTGACTGCCAACTACAGAAGTGCCTGATGTTAGAAACAATAACATTTATGATTTAGACTTATGACATATTTCTTATGCTTGACAACATGAAATTTATATTAATATCATTCTAAAATCTCAAAATTATTCTTATATGCTAGAAGCTACAATTACCTTTTTATAATGCTAAGATTAACCATTCTCATGTACTTTCTTGTACTTACTGTGAGTAATGGTCATATCTAGAAACAATTACTTTCAGTACTGATAGATAGAGAGAACCATGGTAAAATGTTAATGATGTTCATAAAAAATACTTCATGTCAGAATATCATTTTACACTCATATTTTATGGATTTGAAATCTCACAAAAAAGTGACACTTCATTGTTATAGCAGACTTAATCCAAGTTGTCACTCTGGAGCATTGTACTGCATTGGCTAGATTTCTCATAAAGCTTTCAAACCCTTTTCAGACACCATGCAGTATCTTTTCTATTGTAATATATTCAATTCAGTCTGGATTAAGAATGTAAATATTAAGACCAATAAAGAGACATGATATTAATCCTAAACCTCAAACATGAATATCATTTTAAAGCACTAATAAACCATACCTGTAGGAGACCTATCTCTACCACTGCGATTAGATCCTGCAGAGGCTGGCCTTAAGGCGGAGCTTGTAGGTGAAAGGCTCCTCCCACTTTGTCCAGAAGCTGGTCTACCTTGTGGTGAGAGAGCACGACTTGGGGACACAAACCCTGTATGGTCTCTTCTAAGGGAGGCAACTGAGCCAAACAAGCTGGAGCCAGCAGAGCTAGGGCGCTTAGATCCCGATTTGCTGCTGTTGCTACTGCTGCTACTGCTGCTACTTGACTTACTGGACTGATAATAAAAGAAATTAAAAATCACACATTATCACTGGAGTGCTTTTTATAATTTGCATGTTTATTTCCCTTTAAGGAATATCATATCTATTTTCCTTTTTTTTAATGAATGATTATGAAATGGCTATTTCCCCTAAAGACAGCATAGTTATTATGATAATACATCTCCCCTACAATGCTACTTCCTGAATGTGGCTACCTTAGCTTTACAGACAAAATATCTATTCAATTCTACACAAAGTACAAAATAAGACTTTTTCAGTATTACTTTTGAAAAATTATGTCTCTGAATTAAATTCTATTGATCCTAATGTAAAAGATTCCATTTTACTATTTCATTAAATTCAAAGTGACACTTCAAGCCCCAGTGTTTCTTGTTCTTCATTAGTGGGTATAAAACCATTTAATAATTGCAAATTTGCATGAATTTGATAAATCATGTGTGCAAGTTTGCAAATTTTATAATGAACTCACGCATCTATTATCATTAAGGAGCATAAATGACTGTTTTGAAGAAAAAACAATTTAAAACCTTAAATTTTAAGGCAATTCTTAAAGAAGGGGATTTCAGGTAGTTTTTTAAATGAATATGACTTAAATATAATCTGATTAAAGTATATAATAAATAAAAGTACATGTATTTTCTTTTTTATTTAAAATATATTGGTACGTAACATCTGGAAATGAAAGCATTCAAATTAGTATATTGAATACAGCATTCAAGATGACATTGAAGAGCATTTTTATATTCAAAGAAAAATCTTCAGTTTTTACATCTAAAAATCTTAAATTTAGCTTTATTGTTGTTTTATATTAAAAGGATATCCTTTTGTACAATGACAATCCTGAATTTATCATTTTCTATTGTTTATAAAGAAAATAAAGGCTTTCAGATTTACAACAGTCTTGACCTTGACATTCCTTTTAAGTTTAATACAAAATAAGAGAACTTTTAGAATAATGAAAATCCACAGAATTCAGACATTTAAACATTTCACCCATACGTGATAAAATCACAAATGAGCCACGTCACGACAAAACCAACATAATGGGTTTGCGACCAGCATGGATCCAGACCAGCCTGCGCAGTCTGATCAGGATCCATGCTGTTCGCTATTAGTTTTTCTACTTGTAATAGGGTTGGTAAACTAACAGCATGGATCCTGATCAGACTGCGCAGATGTGCAGGCTGGTCTGGATCCATGCTGGTCGCAAACCCATTATGTTGGTTTTGTCGACGCGGCTCAAATCTTGCTTTGTATATAAATACTGAATCCCAATACATGATAAGATCATGTACAGTAAATGCACATTTTGCATGTTGCAACACATCATTTTGTATTATTTATTTAAATTTGATTCTCATAAAACTATTTTCGTTATTCCATTATGTTGTAATAAAGTCCAAAAAAGAAGATGTAAAATGATTAATTTGTTTTAAAAGCAAAGTATCATGAACATTTATTTCAAATGCTTTTTGATATGAAAAGCAGTATTCATAACTTCAAAGTTAAGGAATCTATATTTATTTGTCAATTTTATAAACAGTTGATATGATATACAAGGAAATAAGTGAAGGAACATTTTGCAACATGTTATGTTCAAATGTTCAGCTAATCAGCAAAGTAGAATTTTGTTTTATTTACAAGAAAACAAAATACATTCTTTATAATATTATGTCAATTTTTACCCTCATCATACAGCTTTGTTTCATGCTGATACCATCATATTGACATTAAATTGTTACAATTACAAAGGGCATTAACTCTGAACAGATGCTCAAGTCTGAAATGATGCATAAGAGTTATGAATCTTTGACAATGCACTTTTTTTAAACAAATCTACCTGGGAAATTTCATGCTGATTCCATCAATTCTGAACAAAATTCTCACAGGCAATTCCACACAAAATTCTCACAAACAATTCTATACAAAATGCTCATAAATAATCCCACACAATATATTCTCATGAGCAATCCCACACAATATTCTCACAAACAATTCCACACAAATTCTCATGAGCAATCCCACACAATATTCTCACAAACAATTCCACACAAATTCTCACAAACAATTCTATACAAAATGCTTATAAATAATCCCACACAATATATTCTCATGAGCAATCCCACACAATATTCTCACAAACAATTCCACACAATATATTCTCATGAGCAATCCCACACAATATTCTCACAAACAATTCCACACAAATTCTCATGAGCAATCCCACACAATATTCTCACAAACAATTCCACACAAATTCTCATGAGCAATCCCACACAATATTCTCACAAACAATTCCACACAAATTCTCATGAGCAATCCCACACAATATTCTCACAAACAATTCCACACAAATTCTCATGAGCAATCCCACACAATATTCTCACAAACAATTCCACACAAATTCTCATGAACAATTCCACACAATATTCTCACAAACAATTCCACACAAATTCTCATGAGCAATCCCACACAATATTCTCACAAACAATTCCACACAAATTCTCATGAACAATTCCACACAATATTCTCACAAACAATTCCACACAAATTCTCATGAACAATTCCACACAATATTCTCACAAACAATTCCACACAATATATTCTCATGAGCAATCCCACACAATATTCTCACAGATAATTCCACACAAATTCTCATGAGCAATCCCACACAATATTCTCACAAACAATTCCACACAAATTCTCATGAACAATTCCACACAATATTCTCACAAACAATTCCACACAAATTCTCATGAACAATTCCACACAATATTCTCACAAGCAATTCCACACAAATTCTCATGAACAATTCCACACAAAATTCTCATGAATAATCCCACACAATATTTTCATGAACAATCCCCCCACAAAATTTTCATGAACAACCCCCCACCCCACACAAAATTCTCACAGAAAATCCCACACGAAATTCTCACAGACATTATCATGAACAATCCCAGACAATATTTACAAATACAACATGTAATTATCACAAACAACATCAATCTACTTTACCTTAGCCTTCATGCGTTTCTATAAGAAATCCAATACAAATTAATGTATTAAAATTTACACTTTTAGTATGATAGACTTGTCCGGTTTCAAATTTTGTTCAGTTTATCGGCTGTTTTAATATAAGGAATGTTTGTATCAAAGTACTTAAATTGAGAAGCAAAAGGCATACAGCAAGATAACACTGGTGTGTAGTACGCAATAGCTATGTTAGGCTACTTATAAGGTCAATATGTTTGTTTGTTTGTTTGATCGAGTTCTACATCACACCGACTTATTAAAAGGTCAATTTGTAAATAGTGGCAGTATTCATTTATCTATATTCAATATTTTTTTCTTTTAATCTCATACTTTTCTTTGCCGATTTTATATGAACAGTTTCCAGCTTTACTGACGAAAGAAAATTTCATGTCCATTTCCTAAACATCATAATATTATAGGGATAAAACTAACAATATGCTAGTAATATTATATTCTAGATAAAGCTAACAATATTTCAACTGAAGGATTCAATGCACAGTATTAGTAGCTTTATTTCATAATCATTGAAAACCACTTGACAGAGAACTTCTTACTAATATGTATAATAAATTTTATGAGATCACACGTAAACAAATATCAATTTCAGCACTTACTTTAGAAGATGCAGATACTGGTCTTGGAGTCTGTCTATCTGAGGAAGTCACCAGCCCAAACTTTACTTTAGGTAACGACTGATCAAAATTTTCCTCTTCACTGTCAGTATCGTCAGGCACTTCAACAGTAGGTCTGTAATTATTGCAAAATGATTTCATCATATTAATAAATACATGTAAAGGGGATTTCTTAAACCCCTTTCCACACAGATTATTTCTGATGGAATATAGACCTTTTCGGATTTTCAGTCAAATCAAAATTGTTAAGGTCATATGACGACATTCCAGCTGTGTTGGTAAAAGAAGACTTCAGGTGTCTTTGATTGCATAATTTCACGCACAAGCGGGCACCTGCACAGAACCACCGATCTTCCATAAACTAGCTAGATAGCTCCAGCTTTACTTGCATGACAGATTCTAAACTCTTCTCATTTCAGTTTATAAAATATCACACAATGATATAAACTATCAAATGTGACATATAACTTTGTAAGAGTATTCTCATCTTAAATTTGCCATAGGAAATACTGTATATAACTTTGTTAGAATACTAATAGAAGGTTTATCAACCAAAATAGACAAAGGGAGGTAATTATCATTGAAAACTAGTTTTGAAATGTTAAGCTGTAAGGATATCAGATTTTTGTCTAATGGAATATACACTTTTTGGTTTTTCAGTCACATCAAAACTGTTAAAGTCATATATGACAATACAGCTGTATTGGTATAAGAAGACTTCAGACGCCTCTGAAGCGCCTTATTACAGGCACAAGTGGGCAACTGTACAGAATAATCCATCTTCCATAAGCTAGCTAGATAGCTCTAGCCTACTCACAAGACAGAATGTGGAAAATATCAAACAATGATATAAACTTTATAACTTTGTTACAATACACTTAAATTTGCCCTAGGTTTACCAACTAAAATAGACAAAGGGAGGTAATTGACATTGAAAACCAGTTTTAAAGGTGTAGCTGTGACAATAAGGATAGCCAAATACATAAATGGTAAAAAAATACCCCCAAAGAATGCAGTCTTTAGCTTTACCTCTTTGGAAGCTGCACTATCAAGTGATAGGTACATATAAGCCGCGTTAAGGTAAGGTGATTGAAGTATGAGGGAATATATATAATTTTGATACTTACACTTCTAGATCAATCAAGCCTACATCTGGAAGGTTTCTTAGCATGCCCTGGACATTATCTTCTTCCTAACAAAAAAAATTGCAATAATGAAAGTAAATTAAATATTCCGTTTTATTGTGCAGCTGTATAGCAATACAGAATTATTTTTATCATTTGGTTTCAAGCTATACAGATCCAATTGTTTATTCTGTATTGCTAAACAAATCCAAATGAAATATAGTGCTACACAAATCCAGTTGGTAATTCTGTATTGCTATACATATTGGTTGTAATTTCAGCATCACTTAACAAATCTGACTGTAAATCGTACAATTAGGGCAATAATAAATAAGCCATACCTCTGTGGATTCAGCATCTGTTGAGTCCTCATTAATCACATCAAGGAGGTCATCTGAGTAGTTGCCACCAATTGCTTGTGGGTACAAATCTTCATAATAGCCATCCTCTTCTGTACACATATAAAAATATTTACAATTTTATCTTATAGGATATACAAACAAAACAAAAATGTCAAAATTTATATTTCACTGGGCTGAATGTCTCATCAATACATCTAAAGTCAATAATAACAAAATTTAAATATAAAAATAAATAAATGTTGAAGAAATAAACTTGATCAAATCACAGTTATTTCAATCTAAGCCGGTATTTTCCACACAATTTGAAGCCTTCACTTCAGGATAATATCTGTGTAAAAACATTTGTGGAAGAATTTTTGAATAATTACAGAATAATTAAGAAGAAATTTTTACAATGACAAATCTATTAAAGAGAAGTAAATGGCATGTACCAGTCTTCTATGATGAAAATCTATTAATAATAGCTATTCTCTGCTACATAAATATATAATCAGACATGTCTGTGGACAGCATGCTCCATATTTGCAAGCATTGGATAGTAAAATAAAAGCAACATAGAAAAAAGGGCATTAATTTGCAAAATAATTTTAGGATTATCTGCCTTTATGACAATAAACATGCATAACTAGAACTATCGGTTCATATGCGATTCATACCCCCACCACTGTCCTTGACAGAAGATGACTTGGAAATGTGTTTAAGGGAATAACTTAAGTGGCACAAATACATAAAAAGAAATTATCTCTGGTGAAAAAAAGACTAATTGTACAGGTAATAGTATAAATATATATTATCAAATCATGTTCGAAACAGTTACAAATAACCTTTCATTTTCCCAATGTACTAAACATTTGATAAGTCAATTTTTGGCCTTCAATTGTGGCCTTGACCTTAAGCTGGCACAAGGGTAAGATGGGTTTTGCACATCGCCCAGTTGGGGTGACCATTTGAGTAAAGTTTGAAGAAAATCCTTGCATTAGTATAGAATTTATAGAGCCGACACAACATATTGTCTAGTATCGATTGTATGTAAATTTAAAGGCTTAAAAAGGGGCATAACTTTGTAAAATTCAATACAGAGTTATGAATCTTGACCTGCATATCTTATTTGTGACACCTCATATATCATTTAAATTTCAAGCAAGTACCGGTGCCAGTTTCAGAAATATTCAAGTACATGTTAAAATTTAAGAACATTTGCTAAGTCAATAATTGACCTTCAAGTGTGACCTTGATCTTTAGCCGGCACAAAGGTGATATGGATTCTGCACATAACCTTATTGAGGTGAACATTTGAGTAAAGTTTGAAGAAAATTCTTCAATTAGTATAGGATTTATAGAGCAGACACAACATATTGTCTAATATTTGATTGTATGTAAATTTGAAGACTTAAAAAGGGGCATAACTTTTATAAAATGCAATACAGAGTTATGAAACTTGACCAGCATATCAAAATTGTGACACTTCATATATATTTTAAGTTTCAAGCAAATACCTTTTCTAGATTCAGAAATATTCAAATAAATGGTAAAATTTAAGAATATTTTCTAAGTCAATTTTTGACCTTCAAGTGTGACCTTGACCTTAAGCCGGCAAAAGGGTGACATGGGTTCTGCACATTACCTTGTTCAGGTGAACATTTGAGCCAAGATTGAAGAAAATCTTTCAATTAGTGTAGGACTTACAGAGCGGACACAACATACTGTGTAATATTTGATTGTTTGATATTTGACCTTCAATTGTGACCTTGACCTTGAGCTGACACATGGGCAACATGGGTTCTGCACATCCCCTTGTTCAGGTGAACATTTGAGCCAAGTTTGAAGAAAATCCTTCAATTAGTGTAGGACTTACAGAGCGGACACGACATATTGTGTAATATCTGATTATTTGATATTTGACCTTCAATTATGACCTTGACCTTGAGCTGACACACGGGCAACATGGGTTCTGCACATCCCCTTGTTGAGGTGAACATTTGAGCCAAGTTTGAAGAAAATCCTTCAATATGTGTAGGACTTACAGAGCGGACACGAAAATGGAGACGGACCTATTGACGGACGCGACAAAGCGTATCCATTATACCCCCCCCCCCCCCCCATTTTTTGGTGGGGGTATAATAAATTTGAAGTGAATAGCTTTAACAGTTTTTGGAAAAGACAAAAGCTCTACTTTTTCTCTTCAGAAATAAAGCTACAGATTAAAAGAGATAGATATCATTCAATAAACCTACAGGTACATACAGGTATATATGAATTTCAATCAAGTGTATGTTTTACCAATACATTTCAATGTCATCTCTTTTATCTTCACTCTAACTCAAACATTTTGTATAACATACCCTCAAATTCTTTATCAGCCGGAAGAGATGGCCACATCTTCTCAAGTTCAGGTTCAAGAAGCTTCTTCTTGGCTAATTTCTCAGCACGCCCATTCAGGAACAGCCCTGTAACAACATAATATGAACAGTGTATTAATGTAATAACTGAACGAGGGTCAATTTTTATTTTTTACTATGACAGACAATACTTGTTCCTACTTATTTGGTATTTATTTATTTCAAACACCATAATGTAAGATCTCAATGCAAAACAATACTTACTGAAATGATATAAAGGACAGAGAAAACTCAATTAAGTCCAACATATGATTTTATATTTCTAACTCATCATTAACACAATGCAGGTCAAAGGGCAATCTTTTGGCAAGCTTTTCCAAGCCACAGAGGCCCCTCATAATAATAATACATTGCTTACCCATGATATACATCTTGAGAAGAATTCTTTTCTTGTGTGGTGGTACCAAAATAAAGTCATAGTCACGTTGTGCCAGTCTCTGACTAAACATTGGTACCATAGGCATGAACTCTGCTGCCGTCCTTCGAATTGACTTCTTCACACTCTCTGTGAAACAGAACAGAACAAACAAAATTAACACTTATTTATGCTAGATTTAAGAAGGTAATTTCAACTTCTCAACCTATGAAAAATATTGACATTTCGTTACTATTAAAAAGCATTCCATTATTATAATTCATCAATGAGAGTTATTTCCCTTCGCAAAAGATATGAACAAGTAACATTTGAATAAAAGTGAAACATATGGGGTTGTTTGGGTTTAATTAGAACTTATAACATTGTTTTAAAACATATTGGCTGTATATTAAAGAGTAACCTACATTACTATAATTCTCAAGAAACTACTACAACAAAAGTAAGTTTCCTATAAGAATCATTTGACCTATCATGGGAAAAATGGCATTAAACATCTTATCTCCAAATATGAGTCACAGAAGTTTTACACATCAGCATATCTAACTCTTCATCTTTGTAAATATGAGATTTGGAGACCAGAATATTGTCTGCTTAGGGGGTTTAGGAGAAGAAAAAAAATGTGAACTATGTTTACCTGCAAACAGAGATTTCGGGGATATATTGGCATGTGTCTCTACAAGGTCGTCAAGAACTTCCCATAACACCATGTGTAACGGGTCACCTAGATATTCAGCTTCACGGCAATAGGTGTTCATTATCTGGATATGGCGGGCAAGATCATGTACTGGAGCAAACATAGCGGGTAAACGTTGTATCTTCTCTGAAATAATAAACATCATGATCTGACTGTTTTCTTTCTACCTTATATACTCTTTTAACTTATTTATATTGTGACAGTCTCTGGTCAGTAAAACTTAAAAGCATAATGTAATCTGCCAGTTTACAATATCATTACAAATTTTCAAAGAGTGTTCTGCGTATCACAAATATACATAAAATGTTGTATAATTATGTACTGTAAGATTATCTACACTGTTATTACACATACCAAAAACTTATAAATCTTTTCCATGAACTGATAACCTAAAATATGAATAATTAACAGTGAAAAGGAACTTACCATGTGCAATCTTTGCTTTGATAATTCCAGTCATGAACTTCCTTGTTTCTGGTGTAAGTTGTCCAGCACCTGAGGTGGCTATGTTTGGCCAAACTGATCTCTTGTAACAGCTCTTTGTTGAGTGACAAAAAGTACGAGATATCAAGTACACCAGTAAAGCAAATAGGGACAGCAACCAAAATCCTTGTATCATTACAAGGAAATAAAACACATAGGATGGAGTCAGCCATGCAGAAGGGGTAGTTGCTGGAGTGTAGTTTGTTAAGAGGGCACCAAGAAAGGTGTTTGCAACATTACACAACAGGCTGAATACGAGAAATGCATTTAAACTCGTCAGCCTGAATGGTCTTGTCACAATAGCAGCTACAACAACCAGTAGTAATAAGATACAAGTGAGTAAGGCCTGTAGCTTGATGTAGTTAAAAGCTGCTGCAAATATGATCAGAAGTACAAGTTTCACCAGCTGGAGTGCTGTTCTGTAGTAGCGCCCTCTATGTTTAAACGATGAGAAAATCCACACGGAATCATTCAGCCAAGCTCTATTCAGGTGGATCTTGTATTCTGTTTCTTTAATCAGGATAAAAGACAAGTATCCGTTGTCTGTCCCGGTCATACCTTCTAGACGTGTCTTCCACACCAGAAAACCTGGGTAAATTAGAAATGCAACCAAGATATATATAATCGCTGGTGCGCAATTCTTCCAGTAGTTTGAGGTGAAGCAATCATACTCGTTCATTGTGTACATCTTACTATATTCTCCCTCACAAGTAAATACCCTGAAAAGAGCAATTCCAAGAGGAAGAGACAGAACATGGATGATCACCATACATGCCATCTGCACCCAGGACATTAACCTTCTTGCCCATGACTCTGGATACAAAACAAACTTCATGCTAAAATGTAATGCTGCATACAATAGTGTAAGCCCTGCAGTACCAATAAACCATCCATACATAATATTCTGGTATGATGTACCAATACTACTACTTGGAATGTAATAATCTTGAATGCTGTCATACGTATTTTCGTCAGAAAATTTCAGCATCTCCCATGCATCCAAATTTACAGCAAAAACATAATACGTGTGCCTCAACCATCTCTCTGGAAAAACCCATCTTAGTGACATTGACTGAATAAGGGCGAAAATCTGTAGAAAATCCAGGACAAGCAGAGCAACGTCCATCCAAACCAGGTTTACACTCCGCTTTTTCTTTTGGTCAATGATATCAAAAACTTCATCCTCATCGTCAATGATTGGTACCTCTTCTCCTTCATCTTGTCTTACATGTATAGCTTGTGGTTTCTGTCTATATGTTGGAGTTCCAAGCCAGTCTGTTGTTAGGAGAGGGTAAACCTCACCTTTCTTCTTATACGACATGTTTCTAGTACTGTCCTGTATTGCTCTGTAAGAAAGTTAAATTTGTTTATTAATTATAATACATGGTATGCCCCAATCATTTGAAACTTGCAAAGAAGTTCCAGTCTTACACACACTTTCAATTTGTGTGGGTTTTTAACTATGTTCAAACAATAAGCTCTAGACCATTAAACAAAATAATCTATTCCTACATGAAATTGTCAGTTTGTTTTTTTAATAATCAAGGTATTTGTGCTTCAGAATATGTATAATAATAAATGTAAAACTTTAAAAATCCAAGTTCTTAAAGTACTGATGGGATGAAAATTTCATATTTTGCAAGATTATCTATTAATAACACAGGTTAAAACTTTTCAAGTTTTCTCACTTGAAGAACTATTTCCTTATCTCCAATTGTGAACTGTCCCAAAGCTATGCTAAGTGCTGCATATGTATTTATCAATCAGTGGAATTAAATTATGCAGATAGTGTATGTTCTTGCTTTACAAAGACTTCAAACAATAGAGACTAAGTTACAAAAAATGACATTTAAAGTTTTTTGATGGAATGTAAAAAATGATGACTTTCAAAAAGAAGTTGGCTAGCCATACTGCTGGCCAAAAGTTCAAGCTATTTGTGAGTCAAATACAGCTAGTCTATATACATTGGACAGAAGTTTTCAATTAAAGATTAAAGGCAATAGTGAATTTGTTTACTTACATCTTCAAATTACATTTTTATACATATTTGTTATCTTACTTTTCCTTACTATATATATGTTTTGCTATTTTGTGAGATGTGTCAAATCATGTTCAAATATTTCAGCACATGCACAAATTGTCACCCCAGCAATTTTCCAAAAGTAACGAGATTTAAACTGGTAAATTTGGTGTAAATTTTAAATATTAAAATAAAAGTCAAATACTTTACTAATTTTAAACAAAGACAGATTTTACAGCCCGGATATTTTATCTGTTATTTCAAATATCTTTATTAAGAATTTAATGTAAGAGTCTAAATTGATAATCAGAACTAACAATATAAGTAAGTGAATGATCTTTTGTTTTATAGGAACTTAAACATTATTAGTCAGTGAGTGATTGTCTGTTATAGTTCTAACCATTTTACTATAATCTTCAAAGTTCAAAGGCTTAATTATAAATGGTAATGATTCATCAATCCTCCAGGATACCCGGTACTTTATACATACATGTATATTCTTATTTGTTTTGGTTGTCAATCAAGCAAATGACACCAAACTGTATTGTTGTGCACATGGAATTTATTAAGAAATAGATATATACTTTGAATGTATGGTTGTAGAATTATGTGCAGGAAATTGAGGAATGTTACCTTGAAACACGAAGGCAGATTATGTGATTAATTACAAAGTATATGAATAAAATTACAAGCATTATTATACTATAACAAAAAAATACCTATTTCCATCTTACAGTAACTAAAAAAAAAAAGTGTCAAAAAACATGAAGGAATTATATTTATAAGCAGACTGCATTTTGTTTAATAGAATCTAGTTTATTGATGTCATATATCTGACGTCATTTGACATGTAAATATTCCTTTTTTATGCTGTTATATCGTGTAATTATGCACTTAATTCTCTTAACAGTTTGATAGGGGAATTTTGTGTGATGCCAGTGTTTTTGTGTTATTTGTTTTGCAAGTGGAGAAATGAAGGTGTTATATAAATGGATATTTAAAATGTATATTTTACCTAAACAGATGCACATACGTACAAATTCACATAATAAATAAGAAAAATTAACAGGTAAATTTATTATTGGTTAAAGGCATTTTACAAATTTTTATTGCAAACATTATTATTACATAGTTTCAATGAAAAATTATGTGTAAAGAAAAAAAACAGGTGCGAGCAAGAATGCCACATTTTTTTTTTTTAATTTTAGAAGGCTGTCCCTTAAAAAAATACACAAATTTGCTGTTTTCGATAAATATAGAGATTAAATACAATAATCCGCATCAAATATTACCATTTAAACTGTCGGCATTATGTTATAATTTTAAAAAACCAATAAACTTTTCAACCTTTTCACATATCCGCCATATTGTTTACAAATTTCTCTACGGAGATAATAGACTGAGTTCCGTCTTTTTGCAAAAATAAATTTATCCGCGGATTAAATTTGTGATAACCCGACTAAATATTTAGGCCTTGACATTTATTGTTTCCCTGCTTCTCAAAGGTGCGCGCAATTGAAGCAGAAACCAGTAATTAAACCTGACCTTTCAACTTTACTGATAAAACTTCACACATCACAAGTAGGAGACAGCTCTTTTTCAATAAATTTAGACATTGACAAGTCAGTGACAATGCCGCTCAAGTTTGCAGCCAACATTTCCATGTTGTTCCAGGAAATACCAACTTTGGTAGGTAGATTTAAAGCTGCTAAGGAAGCTGGGTTCAAGTTCACAGAGTGTACATTTCCCTACAATGAAGGATCAGAGGAACTTGGTGAGGCATGCAAGGAAGCTGGGCTACAGCATGTCCTCATTAATAACTGGTCAGGTATGAAACTCATTATATTTTGTTGTTTTATTCGGTTAAAGCTTAATATGTATAGATCCAAAATGAAATGGTGTTATATATAAATGATAAATCTAATATTAAATGAAATTCCTCCTGGTATTTAATTTTGTAATGTGTTTCACTCTGTACCAGGATGTCATAAAATTTCAAAATATGTGCAATATTTTATGAATCATTTTTTAGTGTAGATTCTTGTCAAATACACATCATATATAATGTAGCATTTGATAAAAGGAAGAGGCTAGGTAAAGGAAGTTAAACTATTAAACACAAGTTTAAATTTAGATTAAAAAAAACCTTTTTCATCCATTCAATTCTTAAAAAAAAATATTTCTGTGACTTCACATCCAGCAGCAGGTATTTGATGATATCATTAACTATGACACCTCAAGTATTACACCTTAAGTATTACACCTTATATAAATCCATTCCTCTGTCCTAAGTTCTGTCTGTCCTTTTGACATATTTTTAGTTTTTCTAGAATTTCAACCAAATATACATAGAATTATTTATCAGTTGCCCTTACGCATATTGTCAGGGTTTGGTGGTTCAGTCATCATGGACATAAAACCTGATCTTGTAACAATTTCCTATTTTGTAAAACTCTTGATTGCTCATGTATATTTGAAGCAGGGTTGTGATATGAGTTTTGACTATGTTATTAGGTAAAATGGAAAAAGGTGAGCTTGGCCTAGCAGCATTGCCAGAAAGAGTACAGGACTTTAGAATGCAACTTGAACTTTCCATCGAATATGCAAACTGCCTCAATTGTAAAAGGTATTTCATGATAATAATTATGTTATTTATGCAGAGTCAGTATTTATAACCTAGACTGCAAAGCAACCCTCTGTAAAGCAATAACCTCTCTTCAACAATGGTTTCAATTTTCCTAAATTAAAATTTCCCAACAGATTTAATCTCTCTAGAGCAATAGAGCAACACCTCACAGCAACAACCAACCAAAAAGTTGTCTCCTGGCAAAGGGGTGTTGATCTGCAGAAGTTGCACTGTATAATATTATATATGTTTGGGGTTGTTTTTCATTTTGTACACATATGTCATACTTGATTTCTGTCTTTAATAAATGTGGTGTACGTGATTGCTATTAAAATAATAGAATCCTATATGTATCGATTTTTTTATTTTTTTTATTTTTAAAAACTCCCGTGTTAAAAATCTAGAATTTGTGCATTATTGAACATGGCCTACCTGTATTTAACCGGTTACACGACTTACCGGAATCGGCCAAATTACTGGAATTGACCTGTAACTTTTATATTTAACTCAGAAAGATTGTTTGCATCAGAAAAAGTTTCTTAAAACTGAATAAAATCTCTAGCCATGTAATTGAATTTCAAAAGTTAGCTAAATTGTGTTTCTGAGACAAAGTTGTAGAAATTGCTGATTTCATATTTTCAAACAATGTTAATTATTTCCCTTCTAATATCTTTTTGCATCTCAATTTTGTTTAGGTTTTTTCAAAAAAGTTTTGTTTCAGGTCCCCCTACTTACCCTCTTTTTTAACCAGATTTTCCGAAGGAAAAAACTGGTTATTAGATTGAGGTATGTCGGCGGGCGGGCGGACGGGCGGGCGGGCGGACGGGCGGGCGGGCGTAAACAATTTCTTCTGTGCGCAACTCCTCCTACATTTCTCAACGGATTTTGATCAAACTTTCACAGAAGCTTTGTCATCAAGTGCCCTGGCGCATATTGTCGGGGTTTTGCAATTGGTGTATATTTGACCTAATTATGGCCTTTGTTTTTTTTTCCTTATACAGAATATATAGTGAACAATTTCTTCTGTGCGCAACTCCTCCTACATTTCTCAACGGATTTTGACCAAACTTTCACAGAAGCTTTGTCATCAAGTGCCCTGACACATATCGCCAGGGTTTTGCAATTGGTGTATATTTGACCTAATTATGGCCCTTTGTTTTTTTTCCTTATACAGAATATATAGTGAACAATTTCTTCTGTGCGCAACTCCTCCTACATTTCTCAACGGATTTTGACCAAACTTTCTCAGAAGCTTTGTCATCAAGTGCCCTGACACATATTGCCAGGGTTTTGCAATTGGTATATATTTGACCTAATTATGGCCCTTTGTTTTTTTTTTCCTTATATAGAATATATAGTGAACAATTTCTTCTGTGCGCAACTCCTCCTACATTTCTCAACGGATTTTGACCAAACTTTCTTAGAAGCTTTGTTATCAAGTGCCTGGCACATATTGTCGGGGTTTTGTGATTGGATAATATTTGACCGAATTATGGCCCTTTGTATATTTTTTTCCTTATACAGAATATATAGTGAACAAATTTCTTCTGTGCGCAACTCCTCCTACATTTCTCAACGGATTTTGACCAAACTTTCTTAGAAGCTTTGTTATCAAGTGCCTGGCACATATTGTCGGGGTTTTGTGATTGGATAATATTTGACCGAATTATGGCCTTTTGTATATTTTTTCCTTATACAGAATATATAGTGAACAATTTCTACAGTGCGCAACTTCAAAAATTAAGCAAAAATAAAGTACTGTTTACCTTTCTAAAACATTTGGGGGAAAAAGGCGAATAGACAAAATAAAATTTCTCAATCATTTTTGTTTGAGGAATATTAAAAAAGCCATAATTCCTCCTAAAAATTCAATTAAAAACAAATGCCCCTTCATGACAAAGCTTCTGTGAAATATTTTGCTGAAAACCTGGTTGCATCGCATTGCGATGTTCCTTGTTTTTCTTGACATTAAATCGTTTAAAACTATGAACAATGGCCACCCAAGGGAGAGACAAAACATGGTCTATATATATAATGCTGGTCTTTATTTTGGAAGTTACTTTAAAATATTCCATTTACAAATGAGGGTTTATCAAATGTGGCCTTTATTTACAAAATTAAATTGATTCAGAGGTGGTCTTTAACATAAGTTTGACTGTACACACAAATGCCTACCTTCTAAACCTACCCTCTGTTTTTTTGTTGTTGTTTTTTTTGCCAGAGATCTGAAACAGATCATTTCTTTTGCCTAACGTGGATGTGAATCCTTCTGTCACTTCATAGTACCTACCGTATTGTCTCTATTTAACACCCCAGGGGCTTGAATTTATTCCAAAACGGGGGGTGGGGGGGGGGGGTGGGGGGGGCGCTAATTAAGAACTATAAATTGTGCTTTAAAATATTTCTATCAAAGATATAATTCAGTTATAAAAGTCATTGTATTCATTATTTTGATCTAATATATACTAGTAATACAGGATTATATTTTTTTGATGAATTTACATTACTGGAGTGTCATTAATTGTTCTTTTTTAAATAAAAATATTTAGATCTTTTTTATTGCTCTTTCATTAAGGATTATAGATATATAAAGAAAGAGGTTTTTCCTACATTATGTGGTAAGGGGGCACTAATTAGAAATGGGGCATTAAGTGGAAGTGATATGGTAGCTTGAAATAACTGCTGTCTAATGGGTCTGATGTTATGCATGAAAGGTCACAGGGGACCAGTAGTTTCACATCACCAAGAATGTCATAAGAAGAGTTCAATGCAATTATCTTGTCTGACTTTATAACAGTGATGCCATAAACACCAAAGGTGTATAAATTTTGTGATTCAAGACCCAATAGAGTTAAATTAGTATAAATGTTGCAAGAAATCCTGTATTAACATCTTGTGATTATAAAATTCTTACTATGCCAACAATTTGTTCTGGACCTGCCCTGAATTAAATCAGATATAGATTTTTAGTTTTATTAGAAATTTCAGTACCAGAATACTACAGTTTTGTAGCCTGCATTATAAAGCATGCTCAGACTGTATATATGTTCAGGTTGGCCAGGCTACCAGGCTATATATTGGCAATTGTGTACTTAAAAGGGTTAATTATTTTCAGAATGCATGTTACTGCTGGTAGAACATCGCGTTGTGACAAGAAAGAAATGGAGGAAACTTATCTTGAAAACCTACGATTTGCTGCTGATAGATTACAAAAGGTGAGATTTGATGCAGGGTTGGCAAAATCAATTGTCCTGTAGTGCCCATGTTGTCCCACAGTCTTTATGGATCAATAATATACTATATAAATGTCATAATTATAGAAGAGTTAAAAAAAGCTTCAGATAAAAACAAAAAGTAAGTCAAAATTAGATTTTGCCGGCCCTACAATGTATATGAAAAACATTTGTAGCAACTTATTAGTTTCTTAATTGTAAGCTTATTGTAAGTGAAAAATGTGATTGGTTGAAGTATCATTTAAAATACATATTCAGCAAATTACATAGCCCCGCTACATCAACTGCATTTAACAATGAGAATTTGAGATGACACTTAGAAACTGAAAGATTCATTGTAATAGCAATTTAATCTTTGCTTGTGAAAGAACTTGTTGTTTCTCTTTGAATGAAATTACCGCTATGTAACTATGTCTGTATGTATCTGATACATGATCTTTTATATAAAATAGTAATCACAGTGAGGTGTCCAATATGGTGTCCGATGTGGTCTATAAATAAACTTATATCACACCAACATCATGTCAGTATGTCAGTGGTGTGATTTTTGAAGCTCATCAGTTCTATAATATTTAGTGTAATGCTGACTTAAACAAATAGACATTGTCACCTTTTATAACCAGAGGATTGTCAAGGAAAAAGGTCAAAAAACTAACATTGACATATGTTTATGACAGTATTAAAAAGACAGTATCTTTATGGTAATAATGTTTGTGTCAGCTACAAGTCTCAATGAGTTTTAAATTGACAAGTTGTCCTTAGCAAGTATATCATTACATATATCTTCTCCTAAATGAGTGAAAACTGCATGCTCACTTAATTGAACAGGAAATGTGTGCTTTTTAATTGGGAATTTTTTGCAGTGTTCTGCTTAAAATTGGGAAAATTTAAGATTGGGTCTTGTATTCCAGTCTTTTATTATATAGGAACATCTGGGATCTTCCTCCACCAGAAAATCTGCCTTATGACAACAATTACTGTACCATTTAGAACACCTGCATATCCCCACCCTTTAAAACAATAAAAAAAGGAAATAGAATTTATAACAAATGAATTATTTTGCTTGTTTCTTACTTCAAAGCTGAATTTATTAATCTTTTTCAGGAAGGAATTATGTGCTTGATAGAACCATTAAATTCTAGAATTACTGCACCAAATTATTTCCTTAATAACCTTCAGACTGGTAAGTTTTACAAGGGTTTTATTATTACATGCCTCTATATTCATTTTGTAGTCTGTATGGTTTAATTTTGAAAGTACAATGTATTGATTATTAAGGAATTTAAAAAAAATGAATTTCAAAAGATCCATTCTTGGACTTTGCAAAACCTTTTAACATTATATCATTATAATAGGTAACAAAATGTGCAAATATTTTGAAAAATGATTTACATTTTTTAATTTTTGTGTAAAAATATAATGTGTATGCTATATTTATTCACATAAGATATCAACATAACCATGTTAAATATTTAATCTAAAAGTAACATTTCACTTACATTAGGGTAATTGCATTTTAAAATGTATATATGCCTTGCTATATTTATACATTTATGCGTACATATCAAGTGATAGATCATGTACACGTTGTTTCTGTCCTCTCTGTGTGTATGTTTGTCTCTTTTTGTGGACAGATGTAACCTTGGCTACAACAACTTCCTATTACAAATGGATAAGCTAGAACAAAATACCTTTGGAGGTTAATTTTGACAAATTGAAATATGACCTGGAAAAAATAGAATATGGCATAACTGAAATATTACCTTGAAAATTGGGAATACATGTATCATTATGACATATGATTTTAAAAAATGAAATAAATTGAAATATTACCTTGAAAATGTAAATATGACATACTGAAATGTGACATAGGCTACTGACATAAATATTGGAAATCTGATATAAATTTTAAAATCTTACATATACATGTACATGTATATTGAAAGTCTGACATATATATTGGAAATCCAACATAATATTGAAAATATTACATTATATATTTCAACTCTGACAATCTTAGGCAGATGAACAAAAGTAAATTGTTACATATTAACAGATTAAGATGGAGACATTGTAGTTTTTTTAAACACATTTTACCAAAGTAATTAAATAACAGGCTATTTTACACCACATCATGGTACAGTACAGTGTAACTTCCGAAAACCGAACACCCATGGGACTTGTCAAAAAGTTCGGATTTCAGAGGTTTCCGGAATTCAGAGGTTTATGACAATGTGTACAAGACCAAGCCACTTAATATCACTAAATGTCAAGGAAGATGTGGCCATTACTGTGATATCATATTTAATAGTCTTTTAATCAAGATAAAGATGTGAATGAAAAGAATACATTTTTATCTAACCTGCAAATGCTTTTGAATTTCTATCAGTTTGTAGAAATGTTGTTAATTGCATCACAGGAACTTGAAATTCTATCAAATAACCAATATTAATGATAATATCCAAATATACCCCCTATATACTATAAATAGTATATAGGGGGTATATTTGGATATTATCATTAATATTGACTATTTGATAGAATTTCAAGTTCCTGTGATTGCATAAACTTACATATTGTCCGACGCTAGTTAATTAATTATTACATCAAATGCAATAAAATCCCTAAAGACGTTTGATGCATACATTGTCCAACTAATTGTCATTTGATCCGCTTATAAACACTTCAAATTAACTGACCGCCGTAAATTACTTTAATTAACCGCATCACTTCAAACATACCATTTCACAGTTTGTGATTTTAACGCGTGTCAAATTTTACACTATCACCGCTAATTTGTAAACAATTGATAGGGAGATTAAATCTTCCTGCAGGGTAAACATTCTCGATTTACAATGTATTTCACACCTTTGGATATTTCCGGTTTTTGGAGGTAAAACTGCATTGATTTGACTCTAATTTTACGAAAATATCGTCCGGAATTCAGAATTTAGAATTTAGAAGTTCCGGAATTCAGAAGTATTATATTAATAGAAAATAGAAGGGAAAAAATCGGGACCGAAAAAATTGTTCGGTTTTTAGAAGTTTCCGGATTTCAGAAGTTCCGGAATTCGGAAGTTACACTGTAACTAACATTGTACTAAAATGACAGACTGTGTTTTCTATTTCAGCTGTTGACTATATAAAGAAAGTTGGCCATCCTAACTTGAAGTTGCAGTTTGTAAGTTTACTTTGATGTATATTTTTTGCAAATGTATATTTAAGTTAATATACAATTATTTAAACAACACATTTAAATAGTCATTTGTGATTTTTCTTTCTTCCTCTTTGGGGTTAATATCTAAATATAGTATTTAGAAAAAGAAAACATCTGATAAAGAATGTAATGTTGTTTGTTTTTGTAGGATGTATTTCATGCTCAGATAATATCAGGGGATTTAACTGGGAACCTGAAGAAATTCCTTCCATATATAGGTAAGTATATAATGGTTATTAAGCTATTGCTGTTAATATGAAAACTTAATTTATTAAATTGAAGAGTAACATATTGTCAATCAAAGTTAATGTTGTCTATATAACATAGTGTTTATGGTCACTGACTTTCAGTCATTTGCCACATGCTACTGTGGGTTTGAACCTCACTAAAGACAATTGATTATTTTATGTGAGGAAGATATACAGTTGGCTTGCAGAAGGGCAGTGGTACTACACAGGTACCAGTGCATATCTTGTTTAATGCTCAAATTTAATAAGTACCTTAGCAATAAAGTTTGATTTAAGCTGCCATTTGACTTTGACAGTGCTTATGTGACTTAACTGCTACCTCAAAATTTTACCCCTTCACTCGTGCCCCACTCCCATCCCCCATCATCCAAAAAAGGAAAAAAGCAAAGTTGATTTTGACTAATCAGGATTTTATTTTGTTGCCTTTAATTTAAAGGAACCAAAATTATGCAATGGTTAAAAGCTTAAGATAAAATTTGCTTGTTTTAATTTACTTAGAAGTCAAAGTCAACTTTGTTTGATAACACAGTCAGTGCAAATATTTATTCTGACCATCCTTTTTATCTGTTTTAATTGTCTAGAAATAGATCTGCTGTTTTAGTAATATCACTTTACATCACACTCATATAGTCTGTTCTAGTAATATCACTTTACATCACTCCCATACAGTCTGTTTTAGTAATATCACTTTACATCACACTCATATAGTCTGTTCTAGTATGTGTCTAATTAGCCCTTGAAAATATCAAGTATAAGCCGCATCATGACAAAACTAACATAATGAGTTTGCGACCAGCATGGATCCAGACCAGCCTGAGCATCCGCGCAGTCTGATCAGGATCCATGCTGTTTGCAAACAAACTATTACAAATAAAGAAACTGATAGCGAACAGCATGGATCCTGATCAGACTGCACGGATACGCAGACTGGTCTGGATCCATGCTGGTCGCAAACACATTACGTTGGTTTTGTCATGACGCGGCTCAATTATAAGTATTACATTTCAAACAGTATCATGTTTAAAGTATGAAAGATTCATCTACATATATATGTTAACAAAGATTATTCGTAATCTAAAATCTGTGAAATATGATACTACTTGCTGGGGATCTTTTGAAATAATTAATTGTTAAAATAATGGGTGTGAAATATCAGCTTCAACAGAACATGTGAAATCAATACATGTATTCATATTTTTATTTAAGGAAGATGGTAAAGCAAGGTTTATTTCTATATATTAGACCAATTAACTTATTTTCTGTTTTGCGTTGTTTGGAGGAAAAAGGGGAATTTCATCTGTCAGTAAAATACTCATAATGTTAAGTATTACATGATATTTTATTTTGCAAAAAGCAACTTTCGATTTTTTTTTTCTTTGAGGTGAATTCTTCTTGAAAATGTATAATTAGGGAGGGAAATATGGCTTAAGTTGACCCCCCCCCCCCAAAAAAAAATGTGAAATAAAGGGCCTGACATATAATGTACTTTTGACTATGTATTGTTATAATATTATATATATTTGTGCACTAGGAGCTATGCTCAAGTCTAAAATAAAATAAATGTTCTGTTGATTCTGTCATCTGGGTACATTAATACAAATATTGGCTCATGAATCTTTGAGTTTTGCAAATATTGACTCTTGAGGCATGAAATATCAAATGATATCGACCAGAAGAATATTGACTGCCAGGGTCAATATTGTCAATATTGTCTTTATTTTATAAATACAGTCTCATATGAGGTGTGAGGGGAGTCAACTATTTGTTAATTATATCAATCTTTACCCTGCTGAATTATTTAATGGACTTGCCCTTCTTTGAATTTGAACCAGTCCATTGCTAATTTTAGGGATTTCAGTATAGATTCTGGTCAGAGTACTGCATGTATATAGTGGCATGGGTGTAACATATTGCTATCAGCACTCGAAGAATGGGCATTATGCCATACATTGTGCTAACATATTCTCTCTCCCCTTCCCTTTTAACCGTCAATATTCCAAGCCAAGTCATTGCCTTATACAGGGTTGTCATTAACATTTTTTGCAGAAGGTTTGTTTTGAACTTGAGGCGGTCATTTCTGTCTTTATCATGCATAACAAAGAGTGTTTTCTTAATTTTGAGGCGGCCCATAATGCATTTGAGACAGGCATTTTGGCCTCCTGCCGCCTCTTAATGACAACCCTTTGCCTAGTAATTGTTTTTGCAACAGTTGCCTTAGAAATTCCTGGCTAGGACACTGGCATATAAAAAATATTTAGTTGTATTGAAGGCTTAATTGAAGCATTGCTCAAAGGATTTTGAAATATAGTTACAAAATGTAGTAAATAAGAAATGTAATGAAATATAAGCCCCCCTTTGTAATATTGTATAGGGGTTTTATAGATTATATTTTATGATAAATAAATTCTTATTAGATACTTTAAGGCCTCTTGTAGCTGAGGGATTGCCTATAATTGTTGAGGCATAATAATTGTAGCCACCTTTTATCCCTGCGTGATCATAAGAGGCAATTAAATGGATTTGAATAACTGGAGTCTTATTATAATGTAAGCTCCATTTTGACCCCTGATGTTGCTTTGAAGTTCGTCATACCCGAGGTTAGCCAAAATCATCTGTCCTGTTTCGGCGCCATATGACCTATAATGTATTGGTGCGCTGTAAAACCAAACAAACAAACAAAAGATATGTTAAGAGATACATGTATATTGACTATGTATAATAAAAATGGAGGCTTTTCATAAAAGTGGAGAAAATTAGTATTTTTCTTGATTTTCCAATGTATGCAACATATTTATTAGCTTAATTTATTGTTCTTCGGTACTAATATACATGTATATTCCTTGACTAATATAGTTAATCTGACATTGTTGTTCATTCTAATGTAATAGAATAGCTCATTATAAATAGTTAATCTCAATATTTCTACTGCCAGACAGAACAATTTTACAAACTAATATTACAAAGATGTCTGTCTTTAAGGGTGTCCATCATATATATATATTAATAAAAGCCCTGGTGTTGGGCTATATAAACAGCCTGAAGTCATTTGAAATATACAATGTAAATATTACAACTAACAAAGAAAACAGGGTTAGATATTGAATAATTAAACTTTTTAATGTGTTTCTTCTGTCAGCAGCAGCATACATGTAAACTTTTTTTGATAATCAAGTGGGAGATTTTTCTTCAAAAAGAGGGAGATTTTAGAATTTGCAATAAACAAAGATGGAAGTTATAATATCAAAAAGAGGGAGATTTTGTGAAAATACCCCTTATTTTAAGAAAAATCTTTGAAAACATGACTGCAGAAAGTGGGAGCCTCCCGCTTAAAATGGGAGAGTTCACATGCAGCAGGCTCAACGTTAAGAAGAAAGGTATATTTAAAAAAAGAATAAAACATATGAGGTAACTTATAACTTTATTTTGATAAATGAATTGTTGTTTTATCTAGGTCACATTCAGATTGCCCAAGTGCCGGATCGAGGGGAGCCTGATCTTCAGGGAGAAGTAAACTACAAGTATATATTCCAGCTTTTAGAGGAGATTGGTTACGAGGGTTTTATAGGACTGGAATATAAACCAAGAAGTAAGCCAAATATTGACTAATTAATACACTTGTTACTATATATAGTAACGAAATTGACTATGATTTCAACTGATTATGAGTTTGCCGCCTTGGTGAACACAAGCATTTGCAAAAACTGTAACAACTGCGTAACGTTTTACGTCATCAAAACAGCTAGTTGTAAAGTGAAAGTAGCTTTTTAGCATCGATCGCTTGATTTTATGATTACAACTTAAGTGTTAAAAGTTTTATTAAAATTAAAAACAAAACGCCAATTTTATTTTGAAAAAAAAAAACAACTTGCTTCTTATGCCAGTAGACTTTGTATGCGCATGCTGTACAGTACAGAAGGAATTCCAACAACAGAAATATCAAAGTAATTAAAAAGGTGCTACTATTAGATCTGTAAAATGTATAAAAGACATTTATACATGTCAGTGAAAGGCTCGAATGTGATAATCAAACCTGAAATATATCACTATTTATTTTGATGGCTGATTATCACATTTTGGCCTTACTTAACGATGTATCACTGTCTTATTAACATAGGTCTAAAAACAAAATGTGTCTGCTTTAATTAGTCACCTATAGATTTTTCATTATATGAAAAGTCTTGAGTTAAAAACAGTGTACACACAGTCATTTTACTACATTTTGTATTAATAGTGAAAAAAGGCTCTGAAAGTATATACCAGAAATAATATGTATTGGCCAAGGGAATAGTTGAAATTGTTTTATGTTGTGTTTTAACAATTTTCTTACTACATTTTTTTTATCTGTTGTATAAATTTAGGCCGTAGATGTTAATTCTAAATCAAAAGCAAACTCCCCAGACTAGTTAAATGACTTTCCTTTCTTCTAGTGTAGAATCAAAGTCATGAGCACAAGGGCCCAAATTGTTTGGACTTCAGACACTTCAGAAAAGTCCAGTATACCTTCTCTGTCTAAGTACATGTAATTGGGACCTTAAAATGTTTTTTACGAGCAATTTATTATGTACTTCCCAAGAAATAAAAGGTGTGGAATTTTCTACTTTAGCAAGTTTATATTTTTTCATGGTTTTAGGGCTATAGAAATTTCTATGAAGGCAGTTTTGTAAATTATAAGCCATATATTTGAAGCAAGTGTGTTACAACTAATTCTATATAGTTTATAAATTCACACCTATTACGTGTTTAAAAAATGAAATTTTGATATTTTTTCAGCCACCACCTTGGAAGGGCTCAAGTGGATGCAGGAATTAGGAGTTTCACCATAGAAACCAAAATGATATATAAAAAAACAACAACAAGCAATTATTTATTGTAATTTTATTATAATTAATATTTTATTCAGGAGTAAGTACAAATTGTTTTAAAAAAATCAAAGCATTATACAATGTAAGTTTTATACATATTCATATGCTATTTTATTCAGATTTTTGTATTCTCATTATAGTCATAAATGGTAGATCTATTTTAAATTTTTAGAGGTTGAAGAAAAATGTAGATATTTTTAGGCTGTTTGGAATATAAGCATATGTGATTTGGAAGAATGAAGTAAAATCATTCCATGAATGTATTATTCATGTTATTAACTTAAAAGTTTTTTACTCTTCCTGTGTTGCTCAGTTAAAGGAACTTCACTGAGGTATTACCTTAAAAACATAAATTTTGAAAATCTTAAAAAGAACAAGAGAGGCACTTAAAATGGAAAGACTTGAAAGAGATAATAAAGAAATAGCCTTGAAAATCAATTGAAAATTGTTATTTAGTGTGATTCTTAGCCAGAAATTGAGGTGAAACATTCAAATGCTAATCAATTTTAAGTCAGTTTGTACAATAAAAATTATTATTCTAGAAAAACGGAGTGAGCAAATGGTCTGAAAATTTGCATTGAAGTTATAAGTAAACACCTTCTTCAAATGGTATAAAGATTCACATACTGATTGGTAATAACTAGTAGATGACCCCTGTTGTTTTTGGGGTAACTAGGTCAAAGGTCAAGGTCACAAGGGCCTTAAATGTCAAAATGGTTTCTGCTTTTTTATGCAAAACCACAGTTTAGTCCCTTTAAGATTCTTCATTCCCCTCTTTATGACTGTCTAACAATAATGAAACCTACTTTAATATAAGCAGTAAAATGATAATAAACCTACCATATTTCACCTAAAATTTCCCCAAGTCATAATGGGCAGCTGCTCATGAATTTAAGTATTTTGATATTGAAATCCTAGAAACTACCAGCAGACCATGTACTGGTAAATGCTCAGTTTTACAATTGTGTGCATGACAGGTATAATTGCACAAACTTGGCAATATTCAGGTATATTATGAAAATAATGTCAGACATAGTATTCTTTCAAAGTTGTTTTAAGAATTACACCAGAACACCAGTTTGTTTTCAGTATTACACCAGTTAAGTTGTAACCTTGGGACCAGTATGGTAGCTAAATCAAAATTAAACATTTTTGAATTAGAATATTTTTTATTTCTATTGTTTGAAGAATTGTTTTGTTTATCATAGTTTATTTTCTGTACATTCTCCAATATTTTGCAATTGTACATCTATTTGTTGAAAGGGTATGTACATATATTGTACTTTCACATTAAGTAAAATATTGTATTATTTTTAACAAACTAGGGTAAGATTATTGTTATTGTTATCTTTAATGATATTTAACCATTTTGTTTTTTTTAGTTCTTTGTTTAAGATGTTAAGTGTTCATTGTTTAATTGATATAGCATACCTTACTGGGTATAGCATATCTCAATGAGTATTGCATACCTCAGTGTTATTGCATATGTCATTGGTATACCATTTCTCAATGGTATAATACTATTATTTCACTTGGTATTGCATTCCTCAGTGTGTATTGCATATTTTAGTGGCTATTGTACACCTTATTGTTTACAGCATATTTCAGTGGGAATTGCATACCTCATTGTATATAGCATATATCAGTGGGTATTGCATACCTCATTGTATATAACATATTTCAGTGGGTATTGCATACCTCATTGTATATAGCATATTTCAGTGATATTGCATACCTCATTGCATATAGCATATTTCAGTGAATTGAATACCTCATTGTATATAGCATATTTCAGTGGGTATTGCATATCTGACTGTGTATAGCATATTTCAGTGAATTGCATACCTCATTGGATATGGCATATTTCAGTGGGTATTGCATATTTCAATGGGTATTGCATTCAGCGGGAATTGCATACCTTATTGTTCAAGCATATTTCAGTTGGCATTGCATACCTTATTGCATATAGCATATTTCAGTGGGAATTGCCTACCTTATTGCATGTAGCATATTTCAGTTGGAATTGCATACCTTATTGTGTATAGCATATTTCATTTGGTATTGCAAACCTCACTGGTAAACCATTTCTCAATGGTATAGTATATCTTAGGAGTATTACATACTAGTATCACACTTGGTACTGCATAACTCATTGTGTATAGCAAACCTAAATTGGAATAGCATAGCATATCACAAGGAGTACTGCATAACTCAATGGGTATAGCATATCTCAAGGAGTAAAGCATAACTCAATGGGCATAGCATATCTCAAGGAGTATAGCATAACTCAATGGGTATAGCATATCTCAAGGTGTAAAGCATAACTCAATAGGTATTGCATATCTCAAGTGTAATAGCGTAACTCAATGGGCATAGCATATCTGGAGGAGTATAGCATAACTCAATTGGCATAGCATATCTCAAGGAGTATAGCATAACTCAATGGGTATTGCATAACTCAACGTGTATAGCATAACTCAATGGGCATAGCATATCCCAAGGAGTATACCATAATTCAATGGGTATAGCATATCTCAAGGAGTATAGCGTAACTCAATGGGCATAGCATATCTCAAGGAGTATAGCATAACTCAATGGGCGTAGCATATCTCAAGGAGTAAAGCATAACTCAATGGACATAGCATATCTCAAAGAGTATACCATAATTCAATGGGCATAGCATATCTGGAGGAGTAAAGCATAACTCAATGGGCATAGCATATCTCAAGGAGTATAGCATAACTCAATGGGTATAGCATATCTCAAGGAGTATAGCATAACTCAATGGGTATAGCATATCTCAAGGAGTATAGCATAACTCAATGGCATATCTCAAGGAGTATACGCAACTCAATGGGTATAACAAAGCTAAATGGGTACTAGGGTAACCTCAATGGGTATAGCATACTTCAATGGACACAATGAGTATAGCATATCTCAATGGGCATAGTATTAGATGGTAAAGATATAGCCTACCAGCTAATGGAAATTAGATGGCTTAGCAAGCATATCATTACTTCTTTAATGGCAAATCAAATTCATTATGTTACTCACGTGCTTGCTCACTCATAATATAATCTGGAATATGAACTCCATCTTGATATATCAATATATTAATTTTCACATTTTAAAGATATACTCTTAATTTCAGATTTAAATACTTGTTAAATTTTTCAGATTTTAAAAATGATTTTGATTAAGTATTTCTTACTGCTTTCATTTATGATTTAATTTACAGCGTTAAATGGCATTGTTACTTGATTTATGTTCTCAAAATGCTTTGTTTTAACTTAATCATTTATTTAATTTCAAACTGTAGCTAACTAGTCTTAATTATGATTTAGCTTTAAATTATTATTGAATTTCTTGTTAATGTTTTTAATGTGCACTTTGTATGAAATAAGATATGTATAAAGAAGGTTTAAGAGAGTTGCACTGTGGCCATTTGGTAGACGCTGAAATTTTCAACTTTTTTATAGACAAAACCTTGTTCTATGATATACAAATATTTGAACTTTGTCATCAATTAATACTTTTCTCACAAGTTGTAGAAAACTTTAGAGTTGATAGAAGTTCACCAGAGCACAGTTTTCTCTAATTGTTAAGTAAATTTTAATGTCTTGAGTGCTATAATGGTCTATATTTATGTACTTACATGTTAAGTTTATACCATTAGTTAACTTTCTTTTACTTTGTTTATAATGTATTTCTGTTATTTATTTAGCTTGTTTAAGAACTATGACAGTACAGTTAGGATTGAAATTGGAATGATGGCAGTATCTAATAAGCTAGACTTTGGGCCAACATTGCGTCATAATAATTGCTGCAGTCTGATTAAAATCAGCTGTAAATAACGCTATGTTTTTTGCAAGAAATAAGTAGATTAATATTCAGATTGTTAATTGCTCTAATAATAACTTTGTATGGCTGGCTAAGTACTCGAAACGGTCTAAATTCCAGGTTTTGTTATAGAATAACAGGGTGGTCTGGACTTGATATTGGGGTTGGCGACCATTGAAATAAAAAAGAAAAAAAAACGGGGCTGAGAAAAAAATTCATTCTTATTAGTGGGTTGGTCCTGACATTGGAGTGATGGCAAAGCGAGTTAGCCTATAATTAGGTTAAAGATTTCATAGATAGCTTTGATAACATTTTTAGCTCGACTATTCGAAGAATATGAGAGCTATTGTAGTCGCCCCGGCGTCGGCGTCCGCGTCGGCGTCTGCGTTGGTTAAAGTTTTTTGTAAAGTCAAATATCTCAATTGTAACTTGAGATATTCAATTGAAACTTACAATACTTATTTATAGTAACAAGGTACATCAGATTAACAAGTTGGATAACTCTGCCTACAATATTGACAGAATTATGCCCCTTTTTAACTTAGAAATTGAGGTTAAAGTTTTTTGTAAAGTCAAATATCTCAATTATTGCTTGAGATATTCAATTGAAACTTACAATACATGTTTATAGTAACAAGGTACATCAGATTGACAAGTTGGATAACTCTGCCTACAATATTTACAGAATTATGCCCCTTTTTAACTTAGAACTTTTGGTTAAAGTTTTTGTAAAGTCAAATATCTCAATTATTGCTTGAGATATTCAATTGAAACTTACAATACTTATTTATAGTAACAAGGTACATCAGATTGACAAGTTGGATAACTACGCCTTCAATATTTACAGAATTATGCCCCTTTGGAACTTAAAAATTTTGGTTAAAGTTTTTTTGTAAATTCAAATATCTCAATTATTGCTTGAGATATTCAATTGAAATTTAAAATACTTTTTTATAGTAACAATGTACATCAGTTTGCAAAATTGCACAATCTGCCTGCAATATTTGCAGAATTATTTGCCCCTTTGAAACTTATAAATTTTGGTTAAAGGTTAAAGGTCTTCAAAGATATTTACTTGAAACTTTACACATGCACTTAGGGTCATAATTGGAGGGTCATACTATCAAGCACATAGAATAGTCGAGCGTGCTGTC